GGCAAGACCAAGCTGGCTCGTGCCTAGCAGCTTATTTCCTGCAAGTTTTATTTTTTTGTGTTTTATTTATGTTTCATCGTTTTAGGATACTAATATCCGATGTATCGTATGGGTAAGACACCTTTTTTTTAGCCTTCTCATACAATCTCTATGTATTTTTTCAATTTTAATAAAAAAATGAGAGACTTTAATATATATATATATATATATATATATATATAATATTATATATAAGTTTATTAATTAAAAATTAAACTTAAGTGTATTTGATTCAAGCAATAAAGAAATGTTAAGATATTAATTCCAACCAATTTTTTTGTAGAATTAATAATTTTTAATATAAACTTTGTTTACAATAATTAAGCTTAAAATTTAAAGTTTTGAAATGTTAATTCAATTAGTGTAATACAACATAAATTCAAAATTAAATTAAAACATGATTATGTAAAATTGATAATTGAATATTTTTTATTTTATAGGTAATAATTGATAGAAGTAATACAAGTTAAAATCATGTAAATTGTCTAGCATCGAGGTTAGTACTTGTAATTTTAATCTATAATAATAATTTGTTTCTTCTCAATATTTTGCAGTTGATGGCACATGCTTTATTTTGATTAAAATATTTTTCTTCATCGGTGATATTGCAATGAATATTGTAACTACTTACTCTTATGTATTTAGTGTATGTTTTATATATGCTAAAATGAATACAACAAATACATGAATGAGATGTTTATGTGGACTACTAACTATGATGAAATCACCCCTTGATAGTACTAATGAAGGAACACAAATATACCGTGCAAGTATATGGAAAAGGATATCGACATTGATGTGTTTTAATTGACACAATTTTTAGACGGTGACTCCTGTGACCGTGGTATGAATACGAAATAATATTGATATATTATTGGTAGAGTAAGACGCTTTGAATACCATCAAATATTTATATTTATTTATTAAAAAAATTAACTCGCATATTATTAATTTCTTCCTTGTATTACTATTGTTTATAAGTATGAGTATTCACTGTTTTATTTAGCTCACAGTTATTTTAAACTTTTTTTTAAGATTTAATTAGTTAATTCAAAGATGAGCGAAAAAATAAAAAAGGTTTAAAGAAGTCGTGGACAACCAGTAAAAAGGTAATTTTTTATATATTACTTTAATTAAATTGCTTAGTGGTTATTTCATCTGCTAATAATAGAAAATGAATAATATTTTTTTTATTCACACCATCCGACCATTTGTAAGCACATTGGTTAAATCTAAACTTCGAGTTGGGTCGTGATAGTCTTAAATGGTTTGGTTGCATTAAACGTCGACAATCTGATAATCTGGTTAGTAGAGTAGATGTTTTAGATTCGACTTACGTTAAGAAACATAGAGGTATACCTAAAAAGACTTGGACATATAGTATAAAAAATAATCTTAGTTTATTAGAATTAATTGAAAATATGACAATAAGACAAAATGGACAAAAAGGATTCATGTAGTTGACCCCACTTAGTTGAAAAATGCTCATGATTATTGTTGTATAATGTCTTTTCCCGCTTCTTTCCCTCAAAATTTTGGCTTCATTTTTGGAGTTTGAGCTATTCAAAATGATGTAATACGCATTGGGGTCTAATTAATGACCCTTTTGTTGAAACACGCTAAGATAAAATGCTCAAATTCATCTCATCTTTCGCACAATCGATTCAAGTTCCAGTCCCATGCTGAGAATCACCGCCACGATCCCCTAATCCACAAACCACTACATCAAAGAAATCAGTTCTAGATTTCATCAATCTCCGTTCTATGTTAAGTCCCCATCATGTGTTACTTTAGTATCTTTCACATAATGTCAGAGCCAACCAACTACTCCAAACTGCCGCCACAAATACTCACACTCAATTGTTGTAAGGGCTTATTGATCCAAGTAACAAGTTCACCTCAAAAACTATATAGCTAGATGTGTTGTCCTCCTAACATCTCGAGCTCTGCCTTTAGAACCAACATATCCTCAGCTTCGCATGAAGTTAGCGCACCACCATCCACCCACCATCTATATTCCTCAGCTCATTCTTCACATCACATTTTGCATTACTGTTTCTCAAGAACCATAAAGATAGGTTACTACTAGCGTTCTCTATTCACATTCAAATAATCAAAAATTATGGAGCAAAGCTGAAGCTGATGTACTACACCCATGAGATGGAGATCTGTTGACGTAGTTCTAATGACATTGTGAAGCGGTTACATCCAAAGCAGTTTATTTGCCAGTGATGAGAGTTTGAGCTAAAACCAACAAAAGAGATTGCATATAGCGTGCATGAACCATTAAAAAACTACAAAAGAGAAGTTCTTGTTGAAGAAACTTCTCTCAAAATTTCATACAAATGTAGTGAAGGAGGGACATTTTGGTTCACCGAGAAGAAAGTACTTAACAAAAAAAAATAAAAGTTCTTAATTGGGCTCCTAATCAATGATTATAGATACGATGAAGTTCTTTTGACATTACAAACTTTTGTTCTTTTAGCCGTCCACAAAAATAACAAATTCAGTGGTGATCTGAGAAAATTGTTAATAGCATGTGACAATAATTTGATTGAAATTTGTGGTGCAAAGCTATACCATCTAGATGATTAAGTAGAATCTACCTTGGCAGTATTGAAGGCTATTACCTTCCAATTGACGGATGTTCAAAAAGACCTTGCATGTCATGTTCTACATGAATCGCTGATTGTACCCATAGTCTCTACATCCATAAGTTTTCATTCCACAAAAAAAAAAATTCAAGATTGCCTAATTCTAATATTGCGCAAGCAAAGGTGAAAGTGACATGGTGGAAGACACTGCATCTCCTTTTGCGAAGCTCGGTATCAATCCAAAGATTAACTTACTTCTAATGTTTTATGCACTATTTTGATGTAATAATGATTGCAGATTTTGAACAATAATCTTTCATATGATTCTTGATGATAATATGTACATGTAAAACTTCATTTTTCATTCTGCCAAAGCAAAGACTTTGTTTTTCTTTTTTAAGAATGGTCGAAGGCTATGATACGAACCCCCAACCACCCTCATGTGTCTAACCACTCGATCCCGCACTGCAATTCAGATGCACTTAGGCGGTATTAAACCCGTGACCCCAGGGGACTTACGCTAGGTTGCACTACCAAAGAGTCACGGTGAGTGACACTTATGACTTTGACTTTGGTTTGAGTATCTGCAAGACCACTAAAGAAAGTGTGGCAAAATGGATGGCTATGGCCACCATAGGGGGGCAAGGTCTTCATTAGTGAGGAGTAATGTCGTGAATCCAAAACATCAAGTGGTGACTGAACAGGACAACAAGAATAGTTTCCTGTTAATGTATTTATTCACTTATTACCCTCAAATTTTCGGATTTCATTATAGAATATGAGCAACTCGAAATGCACTATTACGCGGTGAGGTCCTATCAATAAATGCAGAGAGTGACATTCAAGGTAGCAAATTACATAAACTTCTGAAAGGAATAGAAAACTTACGGTGGAACAAAGTATGGGCCATCGCTGTCATATCCATCCCGAGCAACGTTGGAAGCAGAACTCTGAGCGGGCGCCCTATTGCCATTGCTAGGAAAAAAAGGAGCCTGATCCATTCTCACACTTTCAGATGTGAAAGGGAGGATCACACATATCACGCCAGCATGTCTCAGTAAAATCTTTCGTCTGCCTTCACTGTCTATGATCCCGGAATTTCATAATAACCTCCGAAACCCTCTAGCAGATAATGCAATGAAGAAATAACACAAAATAAGTTCCAAGTGTTTGCTCACTCGCGCAGCTTAGATAAACTTAAACTTCAGCGGCAGGAAAATACCCTTTCAGATCAATTGTTGTAACCAAAAGTTACATGATGATGATCATGTAAAGCATGAAAAAACGGAGAAACCAAAACTGAAGAGAAGAAGAAAAACAAAAGAAGGCTTCAGAAATAAACCCATACAAAAAACAGATACCATGCCGGTCTGAAAAGAAAGAAAACATGAAACGGAAATCAGGAAGTTTGGACGAAAAAGATCCATGCGATGAAATCATATGCAGGAATTCCAAAGCCAAAGCTGAGACGGACTACCTCACAAAACCAAGAAATCTTCAACATTTGGGAAGGATCAATCAACTGGAAGAAGTGAGGAATACAGGTAAACCCTACATACTTGTCCTCTTTCCATGGCTTGCTGCCGGCTTCCCACTTTGGCCTATCATTTGTCGGGCTCTCCGGCGCGATCTAACGGTTAAAGCCGGGGACAGGAGGGAAGATGTCACGAGATTTATAAAATAGGGCGACTTCACGCGAAGTATTCTGATACGTATACAATATCTAAAAGTTTGGATAATTGCACCCGAATTATTATTATGTACGCCGGTTTAGTTCTTTGAACTACGAACTCATGTACTTATAAGTGTCACAATCAACTCATTAAAATTTTGGTAAAAATAAAAAAAAAAATACGAACTGGGATATTATTGTAAATTTTAATAGATAAGTGAAAATTTTTAAAAGAATGCAAGTGTGTGGTGATTTTGTAAGTAGCATATGGGCCAATTAAATTATTGTAACACTTGCACTCATACCACACAATTCTTATTTTTTTTACACATTTGACATTTAAAATTTTCGTATTTACATTTGCAACACTCGAAATTTTTACATCACATAAAAAATATCATTATTATTATTATTATTTTAAATGAAATGTGTATTTCAATGCATATGTTTATGATATAAATTTGTTATAATGTAAAAGCCAAACTTTTGAGTGTTATATATGTCAATACATAATAATTGTGTGATGTATATGTAAATTAACCTAGATTTTGTAAGTGCCATTTTTTTACTAGTTGAAGAAAATTCTAAAGTAAAAAAAAAAATATATATA